AATACCATTATCATCCTGCACTAATGTTCTATCAGCTTGTGTAAGACCTGTAATATTATTGTTACCTCTGTGAGCCTTAATTTTCTGATAAAAAAATTTTAAGTTTTTATCAAGGTCCTTTTTTCCATTTGATTCAAGCCTTTTGAGAAACCAAGATCTCTTCATTAGACAAAACATGTTCATAATTCCTCCTAGCCTCTTCTTCACTATGGATTCTCTCTGCACACATTGGATCATTGGATAATGCAACTTGACATTCCTCCATTTTAGTCCTAGCTGAGATAAGGTGCTCATATACTGAACCAAATTTGGTTGTATTCCAAACTCTAACAGCTTTTTTAACTGCCCTTAGCTTTTGGACAACCTTAACAATAGGATCACCATTAACCCTTGTTGACCAAGCCTCTTCAATCACCTATTTCAACACAGGTTGCGAATGCCACACCCTTAAAAACCTAAAAGGTTTAGGACCAGCAGCTACATTGATAGGAATCCTGACACATAAAACCTAATAATCCGAAAGAAGAGAAGAGGTGAGATCAATTCTTGATGCAGGGAAAGAATTAGACCAAGCTTCATTCATCAAGCCTCTATCCAGTTTAGAATAAATTCGTTTGGCAATTCACCTATTATTACACCAAGTGTAAATGCCATTAGAGAAAGGAATATCAGTAAGAGTTAAAGAATCAACAACATCATTGAATTCTCTATGGATTCTCTAAGGAACAGACTTCCCCCCAAGTTTTCCCCATTACTCCGAATAACATTCCAATCACCAATAAGCAGCCAAGGACTAGAAACCACATTTGCCATATCAGTTAAACAATTCCACAGATCCCTCCTTTTGTCCACTGTATTTTCCTCATAGACACAACTTAACCAAAACTGAACACCATTACTTCTAATCCGTAGTTTGAGAAGGATAACTTGAGCTTTAACTTCCAAAATTTGCACATCAAACATGAGTGGATTCCACCCATACCAAATCCTACCTCCATACACTGCATCATAGTTATGACACCAAAGCCAATCAGCCCTTAAACGACTACTGATTCTAACAAATTTATGATTCTGTACTCTGGTCTCCACAAGGCAGACCAAAGACAAAGAGTTTTTACTCACCCAAGAGGGAATTTCTTGTTGCATTCCTTTGTTTATATGAATAAATTGATTATGTGTTTATTTGAAATACTTGTTTAGTTGAATTGGGTGATAGTTGATGTGTATTTGTTTACTTAAATGTTAGGTGTTTTCTTGTAATTAATTGTTAGGAATTAAATGTTTTAAATGGTTGTTTTATTTTATTTTATTTTATTCTAATGGTTATGGTTCATGGACCAACTAATTAGGTTCCATGGACTACTTGGATAAGGAGTTTAATGGGTAAGGATAATTACCCATGGATAGTGTATATGTATATATATAAATAAATATATATATATGTATAAGGAAAATCCTTTAGTGATAATCTGATGTATTTATTTTATTTAGATAAAAAGAATATACATAGATTATACGTAATATATATTTTAGTTTCCTTTTTAGTATTTTTATTTTATTATTTTTCTTTATTAGTTTGACTTACATTGGGAAAAGGAGTAGGGTTATTATTTGCCCTATAAATATATGACTATAGGGATGGAAAAGGAGGCTAGAAATATATCACGTAATATTTTAAAGAGAGAGAGAAAGAAGGAAGAGAATGAGGCTAAGATTTTATCAAATCCTAAAGACAAGTTCTTGTTCTACACTTCTTCTTTGATCTGTAGAATTTATATCTCTAGTATAATCTTAGAATTATTTAAAGAACGATTAAAACTGGAATTTATAATTTAATTGATCTAGAACATAGGTTTGATAAATTATATTTTTTCACGGTTGTTCTTGTGGTATGAATTGATAAATTCATGGATTTGATTTGAGTTCTTTATGAGTTTATACATGTTTTAAATGATGTATTTTTCATATCTGAGAATTGATGGAACCTAAAAACATGCCTTAGAATCCTTAAATAATAAAGATTGGGTCTACAATAGAATTCTAGGTTGAATCACGTAAACAGTGTTTGATTCGTTGATACAGTGCTCGAGCCTTAAAGGCAAAGCTCAAGTCGTGGGTGAAAAGCTCGAGCCATAGGTGAAAAAGCTCGCGCCTGAAATAGGAAGCTCGAGTCTGAAACAGGAAGCTCGAGTAATTAGGACAAAAGCTCGAGCCTTCCCTGGGAAGTTTCGTAAACAGCATTAAGCTAATTTTAAACAATTTTGAGGGGTCCTAAACATTAAATAAGGACTAAGAATGAGTTTAAATAAGTTTTAAACAGACTTAAATATAACAATGCCTGCTATTTGAATTATTTGAGGAATGAATGGATTTAATCTTTATTTTATTTTAAGTAATTAAGATTAAATACGTAGAATGAATTGTATATGGAGAATGCTTACCTGACTGTATAGTAAAATATCAGCATGTTGAAGATTCAGTTTGTGTAGGATGTATCGTGTAGGAAGCTTAACTAAATTATAAGTCGTTCCTATCTTGTGATAACATGATATTATATTATTATGTTTATTTCTTCTGGATTATTTGATGTATTTCTTTAATTGTTACATCAACTATTAGATTGTGTGGATGTAGTGCACCAGTATGGGATGGTGACACTCTAGGGATGGATTAACTTATCAGTTAAGCTCTTGACTCATAATGAAAAAATGAAATGAGAAGAGCGAGAGACAAAAAAGAAAACTGACCTTGACGAGCGAGGAAAAGATTAAATAGCAGCAGACGGATTTTTTTTGCTTAAGGTCAAGATACGATTGCAAGTGTAAATCCCCAAACAGCAAGAGTACAATACATATAGAAGATATAAGACGGATAACGAACAGACGAGCACGAAACCCCAAAGATTGAAAACCAAAATGGCAATGATAAGCAGTAATAGGCGCAAAAACTCCTCCACTTCCTAAAATGGTTACAATTTCACACATGAATTTAATTCATAAAAGAATTGGAGGCAAAGTGTGAAGGGAAAATCCCCACCAACTAGAATACGCCACGTATCCACAGAAGTAAAGAAAGCCCAATTCTAGAATAAATAATCCAGAAGCCCAATATGGTTTAGAGGCCCAATAAGAAAATAACTCAATAAGGCCAATTTAGCCCATTCAACAAAACGCAAGCCATCCTGCAAAATACAGCCCATTCGGCACAAAGTAGGTCGGGAAGTGGCCCATGCCAAACACATTCAAAATTCCATAACGCCCACCATAATAGAAATGTCGTGAAATAAGGGACCTTGAATGGCCACGTCTGAAAACTGCCAAAAACGGCTCCATGTAAAGCTCTATAAAGGCATATAAATAAAGTATGAAATGAGAAAGGAAGGGCATCGAATTCCAATTACATTTCCTCTGTTGCTTTAGTTGTTCATACTTATCAATTTTTCTTGTTCATATTATTCTGTATTTTTTCTCAAGTGTTCGGGTGTAGAAATTTGCAACTACAATACTCTATCTCGGTTTAAATAATTTTTCGATACTGTCTCACTAAAACGTAAATATCTCCTAGTAGGATAGGAATCTGAAAATAAAATTAGTATTATTGGAAAGATGACGAAACATCCTTGAGTTTGAGCTCAAGAACGACCCCATTTGGAGTTAAGATGACTGAGTTATGACCGTTTCAATTTCAAGTGTCGAAACAGGCCAACGGGGCTTTAACACGCGCCCCCACGCGCGTCCCACGCGCTTGCACGCTCCTGATTAGTCCTCCGCGTGTGTTGGCACATGTTCATTGGTTGTGCTTCATTCGCTACCGTGAGCGCGTCGACACCAGATTGGAGTGCTAAGCTCATTACGGTAGCATGTGCGCGTCATCACTCCGTATCAGCGGTCCTAATCCACGCACACCATATCTCCTATACACCTCACCGCACCAAATCACTAACCCACCTTCTCCATCACCGGTCATCGAAAAACCCTTCTCATTCCCTTTTTTTCGGAAGGAAAGAAATTTTCAAAAAATAAAAATAAAAATGCCCCGAAAATTCTAAAAATATCCAGAAAATTCCACAAAAATTACAGAAGCCTTAATTAACCTTCTGAGGCTATAATTGAAGCTTAAATGTTGATCTAAAAATATATACAACACACACACACACGCACATGTATATATATATAACAATTAAAATCCAAAAATTTTGAAAAATATAATAATTCTCATATTTTTAAAATTTTGATTTAACAATGATTTAATCAACAAATTATAACCTAAAGTTTTGATACACAAGGTTAAAGATTTAGACGCATGTATACCATAATCCTATTCCTAGTCTGACTACCCAATATAAATATATACGTAATATTTTCTTAGTAATATATATATATATATATATATATATATATATATATATATATATATATATATATATTACTAAGAAAATATTACGTAAATTTCCTTCCATAATAATCATTAATTAATTATTTTATTCTTGTTTCCTTTAATAAATTGTCTAGTTTTGTCATTTTTTTTTAACAATATTTAATGATATGGAAAGAAAATATAAGTTTCTTAAAATAAAGAAAAGAAAAGTTAATTAACTAATTGTCTCATGATTAGATCTTAAAGCTATAATAAAAAGTGAGTATATAATTTCTTGTTCCGGAGCAGTTGAACACTTCCAAACTTTACAAATTTCATTAGTAAAGGAGCATCCCATCTTAGCCAAGTCGGCTTGGTTTTATAGTCGGCCCAATTCATGTTTGACCCAACCAACTAATGACTTGATGCATGAGTAACAGATTGAAGTTACAAAGGCAGCGACTTTCATTTTTCAGTCACCCAAATTGTCCTTTCCCCTAAATATGCACCTGATGTGAACTACCCTATGTTTTTTTTCTCTCGCGCCTTGAACCCAATTGATTACAATTGTCAGATTCTATGGCATTTGCCAAAACCTAGAACTAAACCACCATGTGAATTTGGAAATAACAGAACACAAGCAATAGTGAAGAATAAGGACTAGTGCATTTCAGCTTTAGATCCCCCAGAGTAAAAGTGGCAGTTCAATTATGAGCACAAATAAAATTACAAGCCAAGAATTTAGTCCATATTTGCATCTTTACGGGCAGCTCCAGAGAAAAGTTTGGAACTCCTTTTACCATCCGGAAGATCACCGACTGCACAAACTTCTCAATTAACTAAATTACTGGAACTAGATTATGCAGCAACAGTGTCAGTCAATTCACGTCCCTTAGTTTCCAGTGGGAGAAACATAACACATATTCCTGAAATAACTGTCACAACCTCAAACAGAATTATCGCAGCTGTTTGACCGTAATTGGTCACCAATACAACTGCCACAAGGGGGCATAACATGCCACCAATTCTTCCAACAGCACTTGCAACTCCGAAACCAGTTGTCCGCATAGAGGTTGGATATACCTACATAAGGAAATATACATACATACATATATATATATATATATATGTGACAGTAAGTGAATTGATTGGAACTAATTTAATAATGTGGATGAAGAATAAATCTGAACAAACTTAAAAGAGAGAAGTTTTTTTCTATTAGAAGAGGATCACAGTAAATAATGTCCTTGGAACTGGAGACATTAATCAAAATCACTTAGAAAAGGATCGCAGTTAATAGAGTACAATAGTGCAAATGTTGTAAGAAAAAATATAATTGAAAAAAAATTAAAATTGACACAACATTATTTCATGAAATTCTAGAGCAGATCCTTGACAAGCAACAAAAAGTACAATTTGAAACGTAAAAAGCCCTCATTCAAGAATAGTTTCTCATTACAGAATACTAAAGCCCTTTGTTGAGTAGAGATGAATATATGTATTCCTCTCTGTACTGATAAAAGTTCCAACAAATAATGCAAAACAAGGAAATAATCTCACTACTCTACTTTTTGTACTCACAATATTTCCTACAAGGAGAATCTCATCAGACTCGGTTGCTTGTTTTCATGAGTTATCAGAAAAATATTTTGTCTCTGGTACCAGTCACATCCAATATATATATATATAAAGATTCAAATATTGTGAACAATGTAAACTGTATACTAATACAAGGCATTATAACTCTGAAAAATAGCTACCCATACCTATTTCAATTATGCATTTTTAAAGATTTTATGAAAAGAAATAAATTTGGCAATTAACCGTTCCAACAACCCAAATAGTCATTCTACTCCCTGTCCAAAGAAAAAATAACAATAATAGAAGGTTACGAGGAAGACATAATAGTGTTTCAAGAAGAGTAATTACCTCAGGAGCATAAATATACGCAACTGTGAAAGTTCCTATGAAGCACATACGGGCTCCGGATAATAAAGCTGTGGTTAAAATCTCGTGCTGTTGTACAACCAATGGTAGAAGGAAGATGCAACCTAACATAAACATAATTCCCATGGAAAGCTTTCGACCAATTCTGTCTACAATAACTGCTGATAAGAAAACTCCAGGAAGCTCTGGAAAATAAGCACAAGCCATATGTTACCTAACCTTCTTTGAGTAAAAAAAAAGATGATGAAAAACATAAACAGTACAGAAAAAACCTTTCAAATCAAGGTCAATTAAACAGACAAAAACCTGTTACCTGCCAAACTAGTGACAAATACATCTATGTAGAGGCTATCGTCCTCTGAATATTTTGAACGCATGGTAATCAAGCTATATTTATTTTGGCCACTGCTCAGCTCCGAGGTCAGTAATATAACGCCATAGTACAGAAATGCATTTCCAAATATTACAACCCATAGAAGAAGGGTTGTTCTAATTAGTTCTGATGAGAAAAGCATACGCAGCGATGAGAAGGCTGTTTCAGAAACCATGCTTTTGTTTCTTGCTGAGGAGAGTAAATGGGAATCTTCTGATGGAGCAACTTCTTCATCCAGATCGACCATTCGATCAGAAACAAGCAATCCGGGAGGAAGACTTGTTCGGTTTAATTTTTCAACTTTTTCCAGCACATTATGGGCGTCGGTTGTTCTACCTTTCACACATAGATACCTTGGAGACTCTGGTGTAAGACCGTAAAAGAGAAGCGCCAGAAAAGATGGTGCAGAAGATAGTGCAAGAAGCCACCTCCAACCCAAGCTTGGCATGACAATCTGCAGTTAAAGGAACTTACTAATGGAGGTCTAAATAGTCTTAAATCCTTTCCTTTCTTTCCCACTAGCAAAATAATCCTCAACTTTTCAAGACTTTATAAGAATCAAATTTTCACACTAGAAAGAAATATGCAAATTTTGATTTCGAAAAAATTCACGTTATATAAATTCATAAAGTTTGTGCAGAATTACATATATTTACACAGTAGATCAATATACCAATTATGATTTACAGAAATAAGGTTTGACCACCCCTCAATTTTTAGGAAAGGCCATTTGCATACTTTCTAAGCAACTCCGGACTCTGAAAGCTACTAATGAATTTAAAGGACCCATGTATTACCACCAAATATGCCTAATGCTTAAAATAAAGACTAACTTTTATGGCTAATGGAATTCCACTTTGGTCATTGCACACCAAGCACAGAAAACACCAACCTACTCATTTCTAACAAAGTCTAAAATAGTGACAAGAAAAAAAATGAAAAATGGAAAGAAAATAAACTTACCACAAGACATTTATTGAGTACTAAACATAATAATTAATACTATATCTAGAATTTGGAATGGGTTGTTTTAGGAGAAGAGGAGATCAAAACTTGTTTTAGGAGAAGGGGAGATCAAACAGATTAGTAGATTGTTCGAAGAAAAGAACCCTTTTCCAGATCCTCCACAGCTATATTCTGAAAGTAATATCTTCATGTCACTCGATCTCCTTGAAATCTATACCCCATAGCTGCAAGACCATCAGCAACAAAGTCGGTTTTTCTATGACCATGGTCTACTTTATCATCTTCCAGATTTGTGAACAAAAAGTTGATTTTCATTAGCACAAACTGGAATGCCCATATCCCATATTGGATCTATATAATGCACCTTGAATAGTCACCTTTTCCCCACAGTTCACTCCTCATGCACGTATGGTTACAAACAATCACATAGGCCAATGCACACCCTTGGCACGAGTCTCCAATGCACTATCTAAGTAAGATAATTATAGGAGTATAGATCCATAACCCACAAGGAATACCTTGCCTGCCTACATGCCAAAAACTCAGTGCCCAAATATTTATATAGCTTAGTAACATCCTAGTATCAAGTTGCCTTAATACCACACCTCTAACTACAAGGGCGCTGTACGCAAGGCTGAACCCAAGTCAACACCCATCATCTGCAACAAGGCCTAGGTGGTGCCTAAAACCCCACTCTGTTCAAGACTACATCCGCTAAGTGGTTATATCGACGGGCATAGCAGATGTCACATCTGAGCCTTTGATGTACGATTTATACCAAGGGCATGGGCCACTGACCACAGTGGCACCATTTATTTGGCTTCCCATCCCCAGGAAGCACTAAATACCTCTCACAAATGCCTAAATCCACCTCTGACGACTCTCGAGTTTGCCCACTTAGTGCCCATCATTGCAATGGGAACAATGGATACACACTATGCCTCCTCCCTATCAATGCAAATTGAGAATTCCCCACTTGGCATGAAGAAACTTCAGTTATGCTCTAGAAGTCATTATTGATCAAAACTAAACCTATACACCTTCAGTGTGCGCATCATATACTGCTATACACTTTTTCTTTCAGTAAATACTGCCATACACTTCTAGTGGCCTTTGGCTAGTTATTTTTTCTAAACATATTCGAACCACTCCAACCCTAAGTTCCACACATTTATCTAAATGACAATCTTGCATATTCAAGCGTCACCAAGCCACACAACGTCCACTATAACTCCGTGCTTATACCAAACTCTTTGACAGCTCTCCGAGTGTCACGAGCATGACTTGATGCCATCTTCACTCAATAACATCAATGCTCTCATCAACAAGTCAATAATAAAGATTTTGTAGTCAAGTGATATGTGCAAACTGCCAATCCTCTGCGGAGCAGAACCTCTCCTCTGACAGCCTGCAAATCTGAAACCCCCATCCATAGTAGTCAGCCGAATTTGGTTAAAAGAACAGGTAAACGAGATTTTTGCTCTTCTCATGTTCACATGTTATTCCTGTTGGTTTGTTAGCCCACTTCTGCTGACCGTGAGTGAGAAACTTTTGTTTCCCCTCAAGGATCTCAAATGGGCTCAAAATGATGCCCATTATAGACTTTCATGGAGCGACAAATGTAACTTATGTTGATTGGTTCACTTTATAGACAAAAATCAAACTTTAGTTGTTTGTTACACTTTGTTCACAATCTTTCCCTAGCTAAGTCCGGGCTGAAGCTTGATGAATGAGACTATACCCCCTTAATATAAAGACGAGCCAAATCCGCATTGTTACTGAACAGATGGGTTCATTTTGCAAAGTTATCCAAATAATAGAGAGATTCAAGAAACACACACACACACACACAGATCCAATGGAGTTGGAGGCTGCCTGATTCAGTCTTTGAATTTTGAATAAAAAGTTGAGATGATGTCCTATAGAGAAGTTAGATTGTGGTAGGATTTGCCATTAAAATTAGTAGGGGAGTTCCCCTGTTTTTTGTTCTCTAAAAGAATATGCTGTCCTTGGTAATTGCACATATATTTTTTTTCAATTTGTGATTGTTGAAAAAAAATCAAATCAAATCAAATTCTTAGGAGTTCACCAGAATCAATTTAATTTATAAAAATAGTTCTTTTGCGGGTAACGGGCAGGCAAGAGCTGTATGGATGATATTGATAATGAGCAAGGAAATAGGAGTTTCATTTAGGAAAAGTAAGCAAAGGTTTTAAAGGTATTCTGAATCTTAAATGTACAAAGAAAGACGAGCAAGCTGATGGCTGAAAAGGAAAATTAAATCCTAAAAAGTCAGAGAAAGTCACAAAATCCCTTCTCCCATATTTCGTAATCAAATTTACTATTGAGGTTCAATGGTAGAGGAAAAATAACAAGAATTAAAAGAAACATTACCAACAAAGAGTCCCTTGAAAGATGACTAGAATCACTGAGAATGTTTTGGACATACCCATGCAAGTGAAGCCTCAAGTATTGTTCCAATTGTCCAGAAAATTGAAAAGACGACCATCCATTTGCCTCTGTTAGGAACAGGAACAAACTCTAGAAACCAAGCTGAGTACACAGGCCCACCACCCAAACCAATGCCAACCAACCAACGAAGGATGACCAACGATAAATAGTTTGGGGAAAAAGCACTTAAAAGCCCGGCTACACTCGTCATTGTAGCTAAACTGAGAAGACCCATCCTGTGAAGCAAATGAAAGAAACAATTACGATGAAGGTTCAGCTAAGTTACCAGAAATCACTAAATAGAAAACTGTATGTAGGACTGCAGATGTCCCTGAAATGCACTGATGTCCTAAACAAAGAAATTGAGTCTACATATGACTACCAAACCAGAAATAAAACTCGGGTGAAATCCGAATTAGATGCTATGATGTTGAAGTAGTGTGTGATGTTTAACATGAGGTTTTGGTTGATTAAAGCTTATATGTCGGTGGCAAGGTGCATCTAAAGTTTACAGGACAATTAGGGCGGGCTACTATAGGACCATAAGCAATACGCTGCCAGAGGAAATATGTAAAATCACAATCAAATCATAATGGTCAAAACTGATTGAACTAATGATATGCACTTTTATAGAATCCTAGGAGGACATATGAAATGCAAAAATGAAATAATTGTCATCATCTAAATTGAAGGAGTCAACAGTGTGGGATGATAGGATCAAACATCATGTAATATAATATAAATTTAGCTTCTTTCGTTCAACCGATGAATCAATTTATTTTAGCCCAACAAACACACCAGTTTCTCTACATAACAGAACCAGAGAAGATAAAATAAACACTGAAGCAACATATAAGCAAGACTAAGATTAAAATTCGGTTAAGAGCGAGCATGCCTCCTTCCATAGCTATCTGATATGGTGCCCCATGAATATGCTCCGATTAACATACCAGCAAAAACCACTGTTGATATGAGGCTCTCTTCGGTGGAGGAGAGTCCCCACTCGGACTTAACTGCTGGTCCTACAAATGAGAGAATCATCACTTCCATTGCCTCTGAACTATAACCAAGTCCAGCATACAGAAGCACGAGTATTTGGTATTTGCCAAACCCAACGGCAATAAGTGCTTCATCCAATGTGTATTCATGGCTTTGACCTGCCATCTAGCAACAAAATAAACAACTTCAGATTGTACCAATTCGGAACAATGATTATTTTGTGTCCCAAAACCATAAAGCATGATCTGAATCAAACATAAGCAAGCCCTGTCAAAAAGAATTAAAAAATAAAAATTCCAAATTTTCATTCCACTTGCACTATCCATATAACAGAACCAAGTGAACCTAATTGAAATTTTTTATGAAGAAATAGCAATATTATCATATGATAGAGCACAAAAGTGAGCTTCTTCAGTTCAGCAATTGACACCAAATTCGATAATGAACCATTCAATTTGATGATTACGATAATGTGCTTCACAGAAAATTGCAATTAAAGGGAAACCCAAAAGGAACAGCCAGAGAGAGAATCATTACCACAATTATAGCAATTGAGATGGATTTAAAGAGAGCAGAAAAAAAATTGTGATCAAAATTAGATGAAGAGAGTCACAATTTACAATAGAAATTGAACAACGTAAGGGTGTAATGCACTTGCTTCCATTCACACTAGAGAGAGAAAGTCATATGCCATAATCCAGCAGAGAACAGCACACTAAAATGGAAAATTTCAAGTCTTCATAATGTTTGTTGAACAAAAAAATAGAAAAATCAAAACTAATTCAGTTTTTTTCGGAAATTAAAGCTATATATAAATAGGAATAAGTATTTACCTGGACTCTTTGGATGAGAGAGGTCAAAGTTCAAATCGATATATATATATACATATATACACGCACATATGTAATTCTCTTCTGTTAAAAATATTTCCTGCTTCTTGTAGTCAACACTGGGTTTGGTTAGGTTCATGTCCTTCGCTCTTTCACAGTTTCACTCTACCTAAATAGTTAGACAGACAGAGCGGTTGCGTGTCGAGCTGTGAGCACGTGTTGTGTTTTATATACGTATTTATACAAGCCAATATACGCGCGACTTCAAACGTTGTAAGTCACGAAAATATTTTTTTAGGGCTGAATTACCTTCCCACCCTTGAGTTTGAGCATTGCAACTTTATCAAAATTAAATACTCCAGGAATCATCTTCTATGTTCGACTAAAATCACATGAACGTTTTTATTATTGAGTAGCCATTATTAACAAGGGGTTCGCAAAAAATATATATATATATATATATATATATATATATATATATATATTAGCAAGATGGTGTGATGTTTGGCAGTGTAACATGGTGGCTCATTATTTGACTAAATTGGGTTGGCAGTTGTGGCTAGAAGAATTGGCTAGTGACACGAAGGGCTTATGGATAAATTTAATACACAGTTTAAATTTGAAATTAAAAAAAAATTAATTAAATTTTTAAACTAAATTTTAAAAATTTAATTCGCAATTTAAATTTGAAATTCAACAAAAACTTAGTTTTAATTTTAAACTAACTTTCAATTATAAATTCAAAGCATATCAACTCATGCTTACAAACGTAAAAATAATTTATTTTTCAAATTACATATATCCACATAAATATTAGATATATATATATATATATATATTGGTTTGGATTGATTTCTTAATTTGTCCAGATCACAATATCCAATATTTAATTTTCAAACTTTACAAATTTAAAAATAAAAAATTTATATTTTAGATAATTTCAAAATTTAATGTGGGGAGGTTAGGTTGGTCTTTGATTGAATGTGTCCTCTATTGGTTTAGATTGATTTCTTAATCTGTCCAGATCACAAGATAACAATATATAGTAGTGAAAATTACATATTTAGTTATGAATAAGATTTGTTTAGTCACTGGTGAGTGCTCTATGTTGTTGTGATCTAATCATAAATGTACAAATAGTTCATAATTAAAAAATTTAGAAAGTGATAAATAAAAAAATCAGAGAGTGATTGGATTTATTTAAAAAAAAAAAGTTTTCTGATATTACGAATTATTAGTCTTGTCCTTTACTTATTTATTTATTTGTGAAAAAAAAAAAATTTCTTTACTTCTTTTCGATATCGAAGTCTGTAAAAAAAGAATATATATATATATATATATATATATATATATATATATATATAAGAAAAAAGAATCTTAAACCAAATAAACTAAAGCACAAAAATGTTTGTTTGAAAATTAAAAAAACCTCCTTTATAGTTTTAGGTATTATATTTTTTTGTCAATATCAAAACAATCATTTTATTGTATGAGTGTCTTTGGTAGAAATTGGATCTATGTTTAGTAACTAAAATTTGTTTTGAAAAATTAAAAAATTTGTTTTAATTCTTCCGCTACAATACCAAAACACATCGTATCATCAAATAGGTAATGAGTTTGGAACAAAAAATCTGATATGTTATGAATTATTTCAAGCTAGCCAAGTTTAAATACCAACATAAAAAAAGTTAAACAATGCTCATTTTTCATGTTAAAAACAGAAATAAAATAAAATAAAACAAAAAATAATAATAATGAAATCATGTACACTTTTACTATTCACCTACGTCTTGCCAACTTTTCAAAGTGTTTTTTTTTTTATGTCATTTCAGTCATTTACTTGAGTACATGTGTTATAATATTATTATTTTTTATATTAATAATCAAATTTGACTCATATCATATTCGAGACTGTTAATATTAATTTAAAATAATTTATAACATATGAAATTTTTTACCCCAAAATATATATTGACGTGCCAGACTACCTTACATTTTCACATTCTTTTTAAAGCTCTCCATTATTACATGCAACAAACTTTTGTGGAAGTCCTTGTTTGTTAGTCATTTAAACGTTATGTAGTCATTGGGCAATTAAGCTTTCTCAAAACAATTTGTTCCACGCGACCATTATGGTGTACCATCATTAGTGATGAGACCTAAAAGAGCCACATGAAGTGTGAGACTAGGTTTGTTAAAAAAAAAAAAAAAAAAACCGTGTGAGAGTGGGTGATTTTGATAAAAGTTTGGACTGTTGTACGTACTGTACGGGTACCACCCTTGAATGTTAGATGGTGGATGGGAGGCCCAGTGATCAATATGAACCAACCAGCACTTTTGATGGTAAAAGAAATGTCGCATCTTATTATCTTTACTTCGGCTTGATTTGATATTCGGGCCCGGTCACGTTGCCCAACTAACTAATTAGTTTTTTTTATTTTCAAAACTAACGAATTAGCTGATGTATGGTTGCATGAATATGATGATGAGCCAGATTAGGTTTCCTCCAAGTGGAGATACGTGTCATCGGATTATTTGCCAACACACCCATCCCTATTCCCACGCTCGGCTATCTCGTTCCACTTTATGTAATTTTAATTTTTATCTTTTGGCATATGGTCCCTTTGTTTTTTTTTTTTTATTTATTAGATAAGTTATTTTTATTAAATTTTAATATATTTTTTTCATAAATATTTTACAATAACTGTAAGTGCAAAATTTCTCTGTATAAAATAATTTTAAAAAAATAATACAACTCATTCAAGATAAAATAATAAATAACAATAATTACTGAGAGAAAAATGTATAATGCTTGATAATCTTTATTGAAGGTGTAGACCTCTATTTATATACAAAAAGGTGGTAAAATTATGGTAGGACTCGCCTTACTTGTCCTCCAATTAATTCCATATACAATTCTTTACTAATTAAGTTACTATCTTTTACAGTTATCTCTATATCAGATTCTTCCTTCTGTAAAACTTTCCTTCCATGCAGGATCCTTTACTTAGTAGGACTCATTCACTCCCAAATAGTTTGAGCCGAATACATCTTGGGCTAGCTGAGTTAGATTGACGGGTTGGAAGTTTAGTATCAGTGATCTTGGGCTAGATAGAGACTTAATTTGGGCTCGACCCGGGCTGGGCTTCCGCAATTTATCAAAGGATGGAAAGTATAAATTTATATTGTGATGACGTGGACGACTCTTACTGGAGGGGGATTTTTCCCTCCACACTTTGCCGCCAATTCCTTCTTTAATTGGACTACGACTCCTAATTAAAAGGAAATTGAAGTTGCACGGTTGCCAATTTTAGAAGAGGCAGTTCAAGGAGTTTCCATTGCCATTCTGTCCCAAGAGCTTCCTCAAGACTTGTTTTTGCCCTCACTGCGTTCATTAAGTTCTTTGCCCCGTCGTGAAACGAGGTTAGTTTTTTCATCTACTTCTTTGATTTCGTATCATGAGCACCTTACCCACTCACGGCCACATAGAAATTGTAGATTCCGAGTCTACCCCTTCGTCTTCCCGTATCCTTATTAGGGTTCTGTGATACCCCTCGGATCCGAGACACGGGTTGATCAGGCCCAGGCCCAAACCCGAGGGAATATCAAACAATTTGGTATTTTAAAGTGAACACAGAACATTAAATGAAATAAGAAATAGAATAAAGCTAGCAGAAATATCCATTATCAAATCCTCCAAATGCTATGAATAAAGTGTATCAAAACATCCAAAACCTCCAAGAGTACAACTCGGGAATCCATCTAGTGGACCCCTAAATAAAATCCCAACTGAACTGAAATAACTGAAAGTAATTAAAACTGAAACATCGAGAGAAGTCCTACGTAATCTGACGAATGAGGAATTGTCCTTGAATAGCATGATCAAGCTCTAAGGCTGGAACCGTCCTGTACCTGAAAAGAATAAAGGAGTAGGTCAGGCCTATGAACAAGTTCTAATCTAACTGCAATCCATACAGTGACCCGATACACATATACACCCTAGATACCTCACAATATCTATTTAGTCCATACATATATATATATATCCACACTAAGGGACATTTACTGGACTATAATAGGAGTTTCAACTTGAATAAAAGGCAACATGCGAAAACGCACCCAAATGTGGGCATGAGTACCTAGACCTAACAGGGTACACTTACCTACTATATCCAGCTACGCATCCACTGCATATACGCACCCTAACCAACGAGCTTGAGACTCAAGCTTATCTCGTGGTACCAGAACCATATATCTAAAGTCCGTCCAAATCCAGAGTATGTCATTCAATTATTTATTGAGATGACATACAAAACAAAGTCCAGTTAGTCACTCAACTTATTCAGTTGATATGACTTAACACAATTTAGGATTCAATATTTTACAACCTATTCCTTTAATCCGATAGGTTAGGTCTTAGCGTTTTGAGCTAAACCATCCCTAGTATGCCACCGTCCCATACTAGTGCATACAATCCTCCATATCCATATACATTATAGAACCAAGACAACAGTTCAGTAACTTAAATCCAAATTCATAATCCAGTTACCAACCATAACTCAAGTAATTGCAGAATATGGTATAATAGTTCAGTAAGTTCAGTTAAAAACATACTCCAGTTAATTACAAAATAAGATTTAATATTTCAACAATTAAAATCCAGTCCAAATCCGAAGTCCCGTTAATTGCAAAGTAGTGTGTGACATTACAGCAATTAAATTCAAAGTATAATCCAGTTTAAAGAAAACCAAGTAAACTACAGGATTATGAACAGTAGCTTAGCAACCAAAGTCCAAAACATGCATAGGTCAAAACTAATAAATACCTGACCCTATCATGCATTTAAAACAATTTTATAAACATATTAGATCCCACTAAAATGCCCAAAAATAAGCTTAAGCAATTAAGTCTTCATCCATCCATTAACCGTACAATGTACATAA